TTCCCCTACATTCACCATCTATTGATGATTCTAATCCCAACTGTTCTTTACTATGATAATAGCAAAATAGTGGCTTTTCCAACTTAAGCATTCCTCAAGGAGAACTGTGTTTCAATGCTGGAAATATGGAGATGTTTTGGCTCTTGTCACCTTTATCTCTAGCTTTTGTTTTGACATGTATTTTAGATTGGCACATTTCATTATAGCTGGTCATTATACAATATAACTTGTTAYAGAAATCACATCCAGTAGCTGGGTGGAGTGGTGCAAATCTGTAATTCCAGTGGCTTGGAAGGCTGAGACGGGAGGATCACAAGTTCAAAGCCAGCCTCAGCAATTCAGCAAGGCCCTAGCAACTTAGTGAGATCCCATTTCAAAATCAAACATAAAAAGGGCTGGGAATGTGGGTGGTATTTAAGCATTTCTGGGTTCAATCCTCAGTACCAAAAAAGAAAAAGAAAGAAAGAAATCATATCCAGTCTGACTTTTTTAAAGATACTRTTGGACTGGGGTGCACAATATGTTGAAAATTCACTCACATGTTAAAATGCCAATAAAATCCAGCTGCAAAATAAACCCTGCATTGCAACTAAATTACAACACTGAGTTATTAAACTCCAGAAGACCAATGGAAAATCACAATGTAAATGCTGTGACCCATCAGTGCCCAGCACCACTTCTGTTCCTACAATAGCTGTGGGCACTACGGCACCTCAGAGCAGAAGTCAGAGGATGCAAAGGCAGCACTGCTTGGCCTAAAGTCTGAGGACCAGAAACATGCCTTTTTCCAAGCCATGATGCAGGAAAGGGACTCACATTCTACCACAGGGAAACAGGCTTCCAGGGTGATTTGACATCCTCTCTGATCAGGATTTAGATCAGATTTACCATGGCTACCCCACTAGCTTTTACGTTTGAAAAAGGACAATTAGGGAAAAGAAAAAACAAAAAACAAAAAAAAACCTCTTGAGGATTGGCACAGACTCAAGCATCAGACTGGGTTGGAAGAACCTACYCCAGCTCTTGGTTCAACACCTTTATACCACGCATAAATTACCCATTAATATGAAGAAGCCTCATGGTTCACATTTGTCTCAAAACTTTTGTTTTCTTTTTAAAATCATGGTRATGATTTAAAGTTCTTTTATTAATGGGGTGGGGAGATTACTGGGGATTGACCTAGGGGTAGTTAACCAMTGAGCCCCATCCCCAGCCCTTTTTATTTTGAGACAGGGTCTGACTCAGTTGCTGAGGTTGGCCTCTAATTTGCAATCCTCCTGCCTYAGCCTCCTGAATCACTGGGATTACATGTGCACCTTCCACTGCACATGGCTAAAGTCCTTTATTAATCTTTAAGGTCATTTATTTTTAAATCTAGAACATTTTATATGTTTCCAGATTTAGTTGGGCAAACAGACTTTTACACGTTTTATTCTCTTCAAATTTTATTTGAAAAGCATTTCTTTTATTTTCCTGCACCTCTCCACTTTCATCCTATAAGCACTTCCTGATACCATGACTAATTCCATAATACCTCTAAATTTTTCTAGCAACTTGATTTGCATGTGGTTATAACTTATCAATAATCCTTGAGAGAATTCAAACTTAYTTAATCCAAAATAGACACTTAACTGGAGAGCAGAGCTCTTTTRGGGCAGAAACTATTCTTTATAGTTGTATATTTTCCTTTAAAATCTCCATACAAAAAATCCCAAATGCTAGAAGAAACTTTTCTGAGAGTGTCTGCCAGTTACATATTTGTCACAATAGTATGCACAGATTTCCAACATCTTTCATATGAATGATTATAAATAACTATATTTGAGAGCTTTCTCTTCTTTATGCATGTTAACTCTATACTACATTCTAAAACCGATAACATTAAAGACTTCTAACTGTAAACAGGCAAATCACAGCATACTTACAAGCTAACCAAAGAGGGATAATTTACAATATTCTTTTAAATTAATGTATACATAATAAGCAATATCTACTATGAAAATCATATATTTATACGTATACATACATCTATTATCCTATGACTGTTTATATAATAAAATTTCACTATTTCAGCATAGTAGCAAAAAGTCAATAATAAAGGTTTACACAACTTACCTTATATTTTTTTTTKG